GTATTTTTTACATTTATAATTATATGACTTAAACTTAAAATAAATTAATACAGTTCGATGAACATAATTAGAATATTTTCAATATCGGATTTAGTGCAAGTTTAACTTTCGCACTAAGATTTCGGAAACTTTAACAATTTTAATTATTCCCTGCATAATACTTACTACAATTATATTAATTAAGCCTGTTCAGAAATAGAGATAAAAATTAAAAGTCAATACTAAGGACATCTACATTGTTTCAATAATTTTTCCAATTTCTGTTTATCAGTTTTCAGTCTGAAAAATCGGAAGATACATAGAAATGGTATTGTGTTGTAAAAAAGTTAATATTGTACAAACAAAAATGTAATTAAATGTAGGAGACACATCTGCAAAATTTGATTTGGTTAAAACTATAGTGGATAATAAAAGACAATATAAAACTCAAAAATTTAAAATCTAATCAAAAACATTCACCAAATCACATTTTACAGATTTGAAAATACCTATTTTTATTTTGCATTTAAATACTCTTTTAAAAAGCATTTTGTATTTTATTTAAAATAAAAAATAATTTTCTATTTGTAAAATGCAAAATACATGTATCTAGTGAATAGTCTTGCTAGTATCACCGATTAAACAATATATAAAATGATGAAAGTTGGTCACATTGGCCTTTGAAGGTATTAGAAGCTTAAAAAGGAGACAAAGAGACATTCCATGAATGCCTTCTACTTCTTTAACTGAAGAGAGTCCAAAAAATTCTAAATTCCTTTGGAATGGATAATCTAAAATATTGGATCGATATTGTTTTCCGGATTCAATGTCACGGTCCCGTGGAATTTTGAAGTTCGAAATTGATATCAGCACCTGTCAAATCACCACTTATCGTACCTTTAACAAGAAACTACGAAAAATATGAATTACGGCAAAAAAGCCCGCAAAACATTATTGAATTGATATGCGTAAGCTGTGTAAAACTGACAACTACAAGATATTGTGGTGTGCTAATAAATACCTGTTGTGCGTATTTCGCTACACATCATCTCGTTAGCTCAGGATGAACCAATGGACTAGTATTGCCAAATTAAAGACCCTTGTTGCGTTAACGCTTTGTATTTTCAAAAACACAACACTATGTACAAAAACTTAATGTATAAAACCTTAACCTACACATAACCTTGTTTATGTGCAGATTTCCCAAAATTATACTCCTTGAATTACAAACCCGATACGAGAGCGCCTACTCGTCATGAAAAGCAAAGTACTTCTCTTTCTGAAATTCTTTCCGAAAAACTGCCTGCCTCCTCCTTGAACCTTTTTCTATTGCCACTTGTTTTCAAGTTTCAATCTGCCTGCATATAACCCATAAAGTCCCAAAGAGAAAGTTAGCAGGTATAATGGTAGCCCTTCAAAGCAAAAGCCCAGCAAAAAGTAGCAGACAACAGTTACATAGTTTTAAATTATTTTTTCTAGGAAATCTGAACACCTATAATCCAAAGATCTTAGAAAACGATTCGAAAAACTTCACTTATTAGATGAACCCAAAGCTAAAGAAACTATGGATTCCATTTCTTTCTCTTATCACAATGTGTAAAAGATCAGAAACAAAATGGGTTGTAAACATTTTGATATAAAATTATTAATGTTGATTTTACATTAATAAAATTATTTGCCACTCTTTCTTGGCTCTGTTCTTTCACGCTAAACAAACTATTTTGGCATCGTCTTTTTTCCAATTAAAACGGGTGACAAAGGCAAATAAGAATTAAATGTATCTCGTTCCATTCTGATGATAAAGGTTAAACATGGTATATGTATATTTAAAATTCATGTTACATATTACGACTTAAAATTGTGTATTTGTATTCCAGATTTATTTCAGTAAATTCGTAATTTTAATTAACCATTTTTGTTTTATTACTTAGTTATCAACCACGACCCAATTTACTCATAAATATCAGAGGCAGCTAGCAATTCTGGAAGGCAATTTACGTGTGCCCGGTTAGTTAAGTATCCCTAATTTAAAACTGATTTTTTTATGCTTAGATCAAAGAACTTAGTAAGAAGTAGGGATCGAAATTTTGATTAAAAATCTTTTAGTATTTTAATATTATTTTTGTTGTCAAAACACTTAAACGATCAATTACTTATTGAATAGTTAAAAGATATAGGTGGGGACAATTTAAGATTCGGATAAGGGCAACTATTTAACCCATCGCACCTCAATTAAAAAACCGATTAAAGAAGAAAATTAAAATTTCACGGCGCTATTTTCGCCTTATGTTTAAAACTGTCAGTTACGTGATGATCTTAAGGATGTTTGGGAGGTACAATCGGAGACAGGACTACATAAAATTAGAAATTCGTAATTAATTAGGTTTTGCAGCATATCATGAGGTAAATGAATACTATCTATACTAAAAACAAGTATACGGTTTGAGAGAAAGTTTGGAATTTGAGACAAGAGAACATAAAATTAGAAATTCGTTATTAATTAGGTTTTGCAGCATATCATGAGATAAATAAATACTATCTATACTAAAAACAAATATACGGTTTGAGAGAAAATTTGGAATTTGACCAAAAACTTTGAATAAAATAAGAAATAACGAATTATATGGAAAATTTTTAACTGACTTTTGGCAGTGAATATGCCTTGATTTCAACTTCGAAACAAAAAAATATTTAGTTTCAATCTCTATTAATAATGAGCGTAAAACTTTTTAATATGTTTAAATAATAATTAAAACTTTAAAATTGCATTTATTTTAGACAATTATAAAAACGAGATTTTCAGCTAATTTTTCATTTTTTCCTCAATAACCATTTAGTGAATTTGAATAACCTTACGCCAAAGTGATTCTCCAGAGTTCAAGTTACTTATTATAAAAGTTTGAAATTTCTGGTAGCTTTTTTTCTGTTAATAAAAATAAATTTAATCTGTTCGGTTAACGAATCTCCATAAAATGTGGTGTAAAATTACAATTTTTTAAAATGTCAATAACTTTTTAACGGTTTAGTGAGTCGATTTGTAATTTTTACAGGAGTTTTATAATTGAATGAGGAACGTTCTTGCAAATTTTTATTTGTCTCGTAGCATTTGGACATACCTCCCAAACATTCTTAAACTGATTACTAACTGTAACAAAAACCTAACACGTAATCGTAAGTGTATTATCTGATTTGACAACGTAGTGTCCTACAATATTGGCATATACTTACTGCTCGTATTACTAATATACACATTCAAAATAGTTCTTAGGCTTTCACGGCCAGCGTATATGGATGCGGTGTTTTCTTCCGGGCTTTTTGGCCGTGATCCGTGGAATTTTACTTTTCCAAACGACAGCCGTCAGCCAAGAACGGCGAAACGTTTGGAAAAAAGAAAACACCGCATTGCCATTGAAAATAGATATTATTTTTAATTTGAGTATAATAGGTATTTTGACAAAATCAACAGTAAGAAAATCAGAAATCTTAGTAATAAGGTTTTAGTCCTTGCGATTTTGACGCAGGTGTAGGAGGAAACAGGGAATTCGACGATTCATCCCATCGCTTTTGTTGGATAAGCGCATCTCCCGATTTTTATCAATTACAGTAGAACCTCTGTAACTAGAACATCAAGAGAGACGCCAAAAAATTCCAGTTATGGAGTATTCGACTTAGGAAAGATTTTGACTTGGGCGGATTTTGATATTTTCGACTTGTAAAGGTTAACACTTGGTGTACTTACAATGTCGATAACTTAGTTTTCTTTGAACTATAGACGTAATAAGTTTCAAATTATCGAGTTCGAGATACAGAGGTCCAATTTAATTTTTCCAGTTGGGATGCTCAATAAATGACTAAAAAAGAAAGTCATCAATGCATTGTATTGGAAAAATCGAAAAATCGAGTTCTGCTGCTCTCATCATAACACTATAAATGACTTAAGACAAAAGTCATTTCGACGAGCTTGAACTATTTGAACCAATTTCAAATTGGGTTATTACCTGAATCAACTGGAATTGAGTGGGTGCCCAACCCAATCGAGTGGGTGCACGGGCACCCGCGGACCCACTCTTGTTGCGCCCTTGCCAAAATGGCTTGCAGAACTCAGTGATTATTTCGACTAATAGAGGATTGAGATTTCGAGTGATGGAGGTTTTTGGGGCTTGAAGAGAAGGAAACAAAACATTTTTTCGAGTATTGGAGGTTTTCAACTTGTCGAGGTTCCACTTAAAGAGGTTCTACTGTATCTGGTTTGACTAAAAAAGGGGGGGTTGAATGTTTCAAGCCCGGATTTCTCTTTCCGTTTTGGCTTCGTTCGGGATTTGTTAAAACAAATTCACTTAGGAAAGTGATCACCTTAAAAAAATGCGGTGTATCCTGGAAGAATAGTAAATATGTGTTCGAAATTTTCAATTATTTGCTCTTGACTATGTGGTGTTACTTTTTTATTTTTTTGAAAATTGTTTAATCATATGCAAATAAAAGTACCTACCTATCTATTTAATATTTATTTGAAGACAATAAATTGAATTCGCTGTTCTTTTTTCTTTTTTAAATAATTATTTTCATGGTTTAGAATTTGCTAAATCTGTAAAACGTTTTGGTTCGTAAATATTACGGCTTATTGACCTGACCGTTGCGTCACATAGGTACTTATAAAAAAATATTTCATCCGCATGCTTACTTTTCTTAAAAACAATAAATTGAATTCGGTGTTTAATTTTATCTTCACGCTTAAGAAATTTGTAGATATGTAAAACCCATTGCTTTGTAAATATTACGATTTATTGAACTTTATGTCGTATAGGTAAATACTTATAAAAAAATATTTGATCCGCAGCCTTTTCTCAAATGCATTAAGTTGAATTTCCTGTTTAATTTTTCCTTCAAATAATACATTCATGCTTAAGGAATTTCTAAATCTGTAAAAACTTTTGGTTCGTAAATATTACGATTTATATGTATTATATCTGCGTATTCTCTGTGTTTTTACGTTCAGTTGAAGTGTTATCTGTTTGTGTTAATCTTCGTGACCATTTTTTGCAATCGGACGATTGGGTACGGTCACCTTGCTTTCTATTTGACTCGACAAATACGATTGTTTACGTAAAGGCACATGTTTGTGTGATGTTATCTTGTTAAAAATTGATACAAACGAATAATTCTGTTTTAAATGTTGTATTATTGGAACAGTTTATTTAAATGGTATATGTAATACACACCTAGATATTAGGTAGGTACTAAAATACTTAATAAAAATAATTTAAAAACTGTATGCCTTGGATTTAATAATATTGAATCGATATAATCGTTATTAGCTTTAGTTTAATCCAGTTTCATTTGTATTAAAGCAGATTTTCATTTTTACATTGAAATTTTACATTTTTGTATTGCAGGAAAAAAATAGTAAGATTTCAATGAAAAATTTCAAGATGAAAATGAAAAGTTGCCTTGTTACAAAAAATATAGTATGCTTAAAATATGTGTACAAGCTTTTTGTTGCTTGCATTATTTTATTTTAATGAATTTGTTTCACATCTGGTGTTTATAGACTATGTTTCATCATTGTCAAACGATTTAAACAGTTTTATTTGTTTTAGTATTCTTGAACGAAGTCGGAATGTTTGTAATTAATAGATATACTAATGGACCACACTGTAGATAGTTAAGTTATTATTATCTCGAAGTAAATTTTTAAAAAATTGAAACATGAAATAATTTTATTGAGAGATTGAAGCGAACGAAAGGAGTTGCAAACAATATCTTACTTAAAAAAACCAAATCAATAAGGATGTAATCTATCTAAAAAACTACATGGACTATCGCACTATCAATGCTTTCATGTACAAACACCAAACAACCTTATTACCTAAGCAACGTTCATCACATTACTGGGTACCTATATTGAAAGTTAAAGACGTTTTAATGTTACAAATAATTTCATTAATGTTAATTAATTAATCTAAGATTTGACGTAACATCAGTCAATTCAAAAACACTTCGTATTGTATTTAGGGTTGTCACCTTTTCAGGCTTTACATAAAGTATTTCTCGACTAAAAGTTAAAAAAAAAGTACTCGGCATAAAAATAAAGTATTTTATTTTTTGTTTTTAAAAACATATTTTTTGTTACACCTAGCAGCCAGTAACAAATTGCTGTCGCTCTTAAATACATTAATAGCTTCTAAACATGGCAAGCATAGATTTAAGTAAACTCAAAGTTCATTTTTAATTAGTTTTAATGAAACTTTATTCCTGTTGTCCCGTCACTTTGCGTTCATAACAGAGAATACTCTTTCTGTAAATGCTCAAGTGGCCGGAACGGACAGCAAAAGTGACACTACTTTGAACAGATTTGGGAAATCCGTAAATATGGCTTGTCATTTTTCTGTGCAGTATTATTGATATAAAAGTACTCACAATTTCGAATAATCGCTTACAAAATTACGATGTTCACTTAAGGTCTTAAATAAAGTATTTTTGCGTACTTTATGTGTCTTGTAAAGTATAACGTACGCCCAGTCGAAATAGAGTACAATACTTTATAATAAAGTACGGGTGGCAACCCTAGTTGTACTTGCCAACTGTGCCACTCATGATGAGTCATGATACTGTTATTTTCGTCGTGAAGAGTACGTTGTGCGGGCAGTTACAGGAAATTTAACACATTTTCGTGTCTATTAAACAATTTTATGGGGAAATTACTTCCAAAATATTATAAGCAGATCTCCATGGTTTAATAAATATAAAATTTTCTATGAGTTATTAACCGTTACTTAAAGATTATATTCGATCGATTAATGAAATCAAAAAAGAGAAGACATTGCTTAACAAAAACAGCAGAAATGAATAACAAAACTTAGGGTATCAGGTCCAAACCGGGTACCCGGCCCATTTCTATCTTACAATTAATTAGTTAAATAATAGATATACATAGTCATCAAGTATCAGCCAACTCAATAGGCCGTATTTATAAAAATAAAGCATTTACTCTCATGTAAAAGGTAGATGTAAAAGCTTTTGCTACAATTCGGATTCATAATCTATACCTTTTCCTTGTAAGGAAATGCTTCGGTTTAATAATGTAAAGAGTACAAATTAGTTAAAATTTGCATTGTGCAATTAATGTGCGTGTGTTCAGTAACAAACTTAAAATGGTTCGCAGAATAACGCAGAAATATTTTCATTTTTTGAACAGGTGACCCGGCTACTCCACGTGTTTCGGGATACTCGCCAAGAAAGTGGCCCGTCAACCACACAACATTCCCTTCCTCAAATCTAAATAACATTTTAAAATCTGATTCTCGTGGTATACGTCTCGGTTTGTAATATTTTCTTGTACGTAAATGCACCATATCAGTCAAAACAAGCACAACACTGGGACCATTTAAACTAAAGATTACATATACAAGTCCTTTTAGATAGATTTGATCTAAAAACAGTCCTACAGATACATAAATTTTTACGTTACAAACTGTGTGATGCCTGGGCAGCTACTGAAAAGTTAAAAAGAGCGAGAAAAGTTGTTATGAACCTAGATTCCTTTTTTGAGAAGCAAATCTTTTAGTTTTGAACAAATGCTTCTTTTTATAAATACAAATTATGTAAAACCTTTTACTTTAAACCAAACCCTCCAAGCAAAACATTTTCTTTCGCTTCTTTTTATGCATATAACTTGAAGGAATTGCTTCAATTTTTGGAAGCAAATGGTAAGGCTTATTTTTAATGACTCATTTATACTAATAACATAAAAATGTGGTAACATGTTTGTTTTGTAAACAGGTTTGTATATTTGTAAGTTTTTAAAATATTATTCAATTTTCAGGAGGTAAAGCTGGGAGAAGGTTCATCATATGGACGCCAACGCTGCTCTGGGGGAGATGCTTCTGATCACCCGAGACTCCAATGGTGAGTAAATTTATTGCTTATTCAATTTAAATTTTTCATGTTTTTTAATTGTTTCCAATTTTATATCACGATGTATAAGTCCTAAATACGTGTCAAGGATAATCGAAAATACACTAATTTTAATTTTGTTCTTAAATTTTGACCAGGATCTACAGAATAAAATTAAAGTGTATAATTTTCTAGATTAAACATAAACTTTGATTAGAATGATAGTAAATACTGTCCTTTATCGAGATGCAAAGAAATTTTTCTATCGCTCGAGAACAGGATTTTTTTTTCTAGATAAAAAGGACCCTATTCCTTTTCTGTGCTCCCCACAATGTGGTACAAAATTTTATTATAATCGGTTGAGTAGTTAAGGCGTAAAATACACAAACAATCAATTTAATTTGACGTTTTGTTTTCCACCTCGCCCATCATCCAGATATTGCACCCGTACAGAACCGTGTTCCAGACATACACCTTTAACAATCATTTTCGAATTTTTAAATTGATTGCTTGAAAGTATAGAAAAAAATACGGGGTAACTCACGGGTTACTAAATACGCGTTCTGAACGTAGTGTTAAAAAGTTATAGAAATCAATCAAACCCTTGCCTCCGCAGAAGAAATACACTTTTCAATCCTGTTTTGTTTCGACAGAACAATTTGTCAAATTGTCATCTTTGTTTAAGTTAAGTTAATAATAATTCTTGCGATATTTCCTCGAGAAATATGACGAATTTTTAGCAAAAACTGTTAATTTGTGGAATAGTTTAGGATGGCCTGTTGTCAGCTATGTAAGCTTTTAATCTAATTTTGCTTTGGTGTTCTATGATTCGTAGGGTGACGGTGCTTCCGGTTTCCTCTACGTAATCTGAACTACTCGCTGTTTGTAGGAAATTTAGATTTTCAAATTAATATCCCTATTACATTTTTTATTTAATTTTTAGCACCTTAATTAAATTCTGTATAGGTTACCTGTACAAATTAAGGATTCAACATATTCCATCTTGTTTTAGATCGTTAATATTGTATCCTACAAGCGTTTAAATGTCAATACAAATTAATACAATCAATTCAATTTTATGAGAACGAATTTAACGGTGTGACAGCATGCAATACAACCTTATCATTCAATAAAATAAAATAAAATAAAATAATTCGAAGTGGTCAGTATTCTGTCGACTGCCAGACGCAGATCGCGATTTCGATCCTTTTGGATCTCATCAGCGCGTCGCACACAGCTCCGACAGAACACAAAGCAACTTTTACCTGCTGTCTTAACAGCGCGTTTAAGACTTTAGTCTAAACCTTATCATACTAAGGATTTTAAAAATTAGTGAAGTTCAGTTTCCAATCGGCAGAAATTTCCTTGTTTAATATTTAGTATTTAGGTACCTGCTAACTATGTTTCTATAAAATTTCGTGTTTTTAAAAGGTATATCTTTTGAATTTATAGGAGGAAAAACACATTAAAAATTGAAACATTTTTTTATTTGGTTAATAAGCAAATCACTATAATTTACATATTTACTCGTAATTTAATACTGGACAATCTATTACTCAGCAAACCTGCATTGTTGAGCTGCATCTCGACTACATAACCTCAATTTATTTGTTGTGTATCTGCACTAGGTATGCATCCTTAGATTACTGTAGTTGTTAGGCTTTCGCGGCCGGCGTATATCGATGCTGTGTTTTCTTCCGGGCTTCCGTGGTCCGTAGAATCTTTTCCTTTTCCAAACGTTTCGCCGTTCTTTGCTGACTCAGCACCTGTCCAGTCACCACTGAAGATGCCATCAGAAAAGAACGGCGAAACGTTTGGAAAAACAAGATTCCACGTACCATGGCCTAAAAAACCCGGAAGAAAACGCGGCATCGATATCCTTAGATTATACGTGCTTACCCCAAGATTTTCTAATTTGCTAAGAATCCCCCATCAACAGGTAAACACGCTCCATTAATTAAACTTGCTCTGTCACTTAGAAGATATACTACTGCATCTGCTACTTCTTCGACTGTCCCAAATCTGTATGTTGACATAAATAAATCGCTCATTGGTATGATATTTATTAAAATGATAACATTATTGCTTCAGAAAACTAAGGAATATGTAGGTATTATATTTAAAAATAAATACATATACTAAAATTAAAAAAAAAGAACAGTATTATCGAAATGAAATTGCATTCCGTTAAAGGCTCAATTGAAGGATCATTTGCCTAGGCATCTTTACTTCTAAATGAAAATATTAGGCCCTTATGGGGTTATTTTGCCGACTTACAGATTTGTTATCAAAATTATAGGATAGATCTTCTTGTTAAAATATTGAAAATGGCATGGATGAAAGTTTTGCGGCAAAAATACTGAAAAAAAGTTGTTAATTTTCTAATTCGTCGTGTTCATCCGGCTCGAAGGACCATCGCGACAAACTTAATGTATAATGTGCTACAATAACTTCTTAATCAGATTTCTGTTGTACGAAGGCGCAGAAGGGTCTAACATAATCTTTTTTTGAAATTTCAACTTGAATATTTATTTAGGTACCCATCAGTAGTAGTATCAGACCATGACATTGAACCCGGAAAACAATATCGATCCAATATTTCAGATTATCTATTTCAAAGGAGTTTAGAATTTATTTTGGGCTCCCTTCAGTTAAAAAATTAGAAGGCATTCATGGAATGTCTCTTTCTCCCATTTTTAAGCTTCTAATAGCTTTAATCGTCAATGTAAGTAACTTTCATTCAATCGATGGTACTAGCAAAACTTTCAACAACAAAAATGTATTTTGCGTTTTATAAATAGAAAATACGTTTGGAAAAGTATTTTAAATAAAATAGAAAATGGTTTTCCCAAAAAGGTATTTGAATGTAAGATAAAAATAGGTATTTTTTATTTTTTGTTTGCATTTTAAATGCAAGTATTTCAAATAAATCACATCTTTGGATTCAATTGCTTATTAGGTTAGAATTGGGTCAAATAAGGATTAGTTTAAGGGCACAGCTACTCCAAAAATTAAAATCCTAACATAATTGAATTTAAAAGCTATCATTCGTTTGGTTGTACATTAAGTAAAGACAACACGAACGAAATAAGTGTTGCAGCACTCCAGTCCTTTCTTAAAATGCATTAGCTTAAGCTGGGATTGAGTTAGGTTAGTTTAGGTTGCGTGATTCGGTAAGCATTTAGAGTTACAAATTGAAATTTCGTTAAAGTTTACGTCATTTACCCTTCAGTTGTAACCTCATGATGACGCTTGACGCTAGCGTTGAGCGTCAAATTATGGCTCCACCTAGCTGAAATTAGTAGAATCATGTCTGGCGTCAAACGTCAACGTCAATCTAAAAAAATTACCAGAGAAAAAATCGCAAGTCGATATCTCGATATATACTTAACTCTAACCTAATTTTTCTAAAAGCACGTGACAATTGTAAACAAAAAACTTATAACTACAATAAATATTAAACATTATAGAAAATTATTAAAATATTACATCAAACATAACTGACTAATCGAAATTTCGATGGCAGGCGATTATGATTATCAAATGTGGATTTATCAGTGCCAAAAAATAATTCATGAAGCTGAAATAAGGAAAAGAATCAGGCGCAAATGAATTATTAGTGCTTTGTTATGCAATGAATTAGTTATACAAAATGTAAAAATATTTCTGTTATAATTATTGTTTAGGTTTTAGGTAATATAACTCTTACATCTTCCAGAATTTCTAGATCTTCATAATCTTCAAAAAGTGCCATTTTCATAAAATAAATAATAAATAAAATCGAAGGTTTAGTTTAGATTTACTTTTAAAATAAACAATAAGAGTGTTCTTAATTTTTTCAATATCGATTACTATCGAGTTCGACTATATACATTTTGAATTAACTGTTGATCTTTAAAATAAAAAGCTGATTTGTGTTTAGTTTTTTACGATTTGACGTTACAAGATTTTTTTCTAGATGGCAGCACAGCCTAAATTGATCACGTGATGTGATTTGGCCCTCAAAGCTAGCGTCAAGCGTCAGCATGAGGTTACACCTGTATTGTTTTTAAAAATAATAAGAAGTTGTATATGTATATTAACCTTCCTAGCGGGATTCTAGCCAACATCGGAGCTGATTTGACAGGATCCGACCATGACTTCCTTCCCATAGCGGTCATAACGATTGTAGGGTTAACACTGTTGACCCGAATGCCGTGGGGCCCAAGTTCAAGGGCTGCGGCACGGGTAAATGCGTCCACCGCGCCTTTACTGGCACAGTAAACAGACTTACCAAGTATACCGGCCATCGATGCTTGAGAAGAAACATTCACAATTGCTCCGGGAACTTTACGAGAAATAAGGTCAGATGCAACCATTCGTGTCAAATTAATTGTGGACTTTGTATTAATATCAAATTGCCTAGAATTAATTACATATTCAGGAAGAAGTTAGCTACTTATGTTATGTACACACGTTAGAACTCATACTTCTACTTACATATTTTTTATTTAGTCAGTTCACATATACATAATTAAATTAGTATGAGTTTAAATTATTAATTGAATCTAATTTCGTTGGTGTTCAAAATTTAAATTGTGAAAAATGACTCTAATCTCGCCAATTAACCAACGATGTGTTTTATATTTGAAATTTCTTTATTGTAAAAGCAAAGCGACGTTTCGNTAAAAAATGACTCTAATCTCGCCAAATAACCAACGATGTGTTCTATATTTGAAATTTCTTTATTGTAAAAGCGTAAAAGCGACGTTTCGACTGTGTATTTCAGTCATTTTCAAGCTCGAATTTCTATCATTGCTTACATCTAATGTCGACTAGTATCACAATTGGTTTTAACAAAGGTTTTCACATTAACAAACTTTATCTTAAATTAAATAAATTTATCAAAAACACCGCCAAAAACTAACTGTTAATATGAAAACCTTTGTTAAAACCAATTGTCATACTAGTCGACATTAGATGTAAGCAATGATAGAAATTCCAGCTTGAAAATGTCTGAAATAGACAGTCGAAACGTCGCTTTGCTTTTACAATAAAGAAATTTCAAATACAAAACACATCGTTGGTTAATTGGCGAGATTAGAATCATTTTTCACAATTAGTATGAGTTTATTTAAACAATGTTTTCGATTACAGTTGATGGTTAAGGAAACCACAATATATAATATAAAAATGTTTTAATAAGCAATATATTCAAATCGTCGTTAATTGTTTCGATGTAGTAGGTCAATAGTTTTGGTTTTGGAAGAAAGTTTCTTTTATCGTAGGTTTCAGTAATATTGTTACCTTTTTTCTCATTTTTTGGTCAGTAAAATTGGGATATAGCAGTATTAGCATCTAGCAAGGAGGAGTTAGAAATAGCTTCACAGAAAATAGAAGTGGTATTGACAAAATAGTACTGTAATATAAATAAAACAAAAATACTGGTATGCAAGGGAGGAAAAAGTAGACAAAGCAAAAAAATATAGGAGATGCAAAATTAGAAGAAGTGGCTGATTTTAGGTATTTAGGAAGTCAGATAAGTCGGGACGAAAGGAGTAGTATGAATATAAAGCAGAGGGTAGCGAAGGGTCGAATCCCCTTAATAAAAAATGAAGTCATTTTTATGCTCGCGAACGATGAATTTAGAAATTCGAAAAAGATTGTTAAAGGTGTATGGAACATTTTGGAACACGGCACTGCACGGATGCGTAACAAGGACGGTAGGCGCAGCGGAAAAGAAAAGGTTAGAAGCGTTCGAAATGTGGTATTACAGGCGAATGATGAGAATACCATTGATAGGGAAGGTTAGAAATGAAGAGGTATTAGAAAGTATAGGAGATCAGAGGACTCTATTGAAGTCAATAAGAAATAGGCGAGAGACAGATTGACAGGAAACTCCCTCAGGCATGAAGGTCTCGTCAGAGACATATTAGAGACAGAAGCGGGAGTTAAGAGGGGTAGAGGTAGACCTAGATTAGATTACTGTTCGCAAATAGTTAAGGATGTGGGTTGTTCTAATTTTAGGGAAATGCAAAGATTAGTTGAGGACAGGAAGGAGTGAAGGTACGTGTCCAACCAGCCTTAGGACTGACAACCTTATGATGATGAACATGGGTTTTTGAAGGGTGAAAGTGGTGAGACTTCCTGTCATTGTGCCCATGGTGCAAATCAGCAAAAATCGTACGTGACACGAAAGTGCTAAACTCTGCCTTTTTCCCTTAACAAATGAGGCAAAGCCTTCACAGAACGTCGGCATTTTTTCGTCTAAAAAAGGAGCGAAGATGCACAAATTGGTGAATGTGTGGAATATATTTTTTTTAAGCACGTCTATCTGAAACAATCACCTGATTCTCTGGAAACTGTTCTAAAGTAGCCTAATTCTCAAAATCGTTTGAACAAAGCGAAAAATGTCTCGAAAGCTTTAAATTGCATTTATGGGGCTTACATTTTCTTATTTAGATATATATATATAAAAAGTTGGCTGAAAGTATTTGCACGATTTTTCCCATATCACGTTGTATTTGTTAAAAGATAAATAATACCACCCTTTACCAGACAGGAAATTAGTTTAGGGAACCCGGGTTATAATCAGATCCGGATCAGATTTTCCGTATCAGTTCCTGATCAGAGTACAGTACTCCATTCCTTGATTTGGTCACCTGATCAGGAACTGGTTCTTTCCCTTGATTAGGTTATCTCATCTAGAATTGATCAAAGTGTAGTATCGTTTCCCTTGATCCGTCTATCTGATCAGTTTCTGATTAAAGTACAGTACCCTATCCCTTGATCCAGTCATCTGATAAAAAAAATTGGCTTTTGGTGTACCGACGATCTTTGAATCAACATATAGAGCAACGGTTGGCAACTGACGGGCTGCGGTCCAGGTCCGGATCGCAAAACGTCAAAGACTGGGTTGGCAAAAAACTTTGGAAAGTGTAAACTATTCAAATAAAATATTTAAAAAACACTTTAAGTTTGAGCTTTAAGCGCTACCCCTATCAAAAAAGCAGGCTGACCGGCTGACACCGCATGTATGTCAATCCATTTAAAAGCTCTGTACATCTAAATGCAACACAAGAACTTTATTTAAATACAAAATCTTTAAATCAATATCTCACACTGACAACCTGTGATGATATTCAGGTATTTTGTGAGAGAAAATTAAAATAAAAAAATGTTAAGGAATATGCTTTTTTTGGGACCTCGATAGAAATTTTCAAAAGAATTTGGGCCCTACCTAAAATTACTTGCCGACCCTTGGCCTAGAGGTTTAGATCATTGCTTAGCATTTAGGAGCACACTGCCATCGTTTCGATTCTGGATTCGTCTGCCCTGGTTCAAGTTTGTCTATGGTTTTCTTGGATTACATAGGCAGTAATATTTCACAAATAATCTTTCACTCTTTTCTGACTTCGTTTCATCCGTCCCATCTTTCTCACCTCAACCACCACCGATGAATGAAATACCCAAAAATTTTTTTAGGATTGTTATAATTTAATCTTACCTACATTTTTCTGTACTCTACTAGATCGAAACAATTGTCAAGGATCTAAATATATTACTTACCTGTTGTTGCTTAACGTGTCAGAAGAAGTATAATTTCAAAAAATCTATCATGGGTAGATACCTGTCAACATTTGCTTTAGTTATTTCAGTAATCGTTTCCTCGGTAGAAACGCCTGCACAGTTAACAAGTAAATCTATATGACCTAATTCTGATAAATTCAAATTACTGATGTTTTCCCATTCCGAAATATCTAAGGCTACAGGCGTCACTGATGGAAATTCTTTAGTCAATGAACCTAAAAAAAAGAATAAAAAAAAAATACAGTTCTCGCATATTGCGTAGGATCTCAAACGTATTGAAAATACGAGACACATCTGCTGGATTAATTGATTGATTTTTTTAAATTAACTTTGCCCACTATGGATTAAATTAATGAGAATGAGAGTGTATTTATGATGATGAAATAATTTCAAGCAGTTGAAATTTCTCGCTGAGGATTATTTTTGAGCGAACTTTCCCGTTTATTACTCGGAAATAATTAGGTATTGATGGAGTAACCACGCGAGTTTTAGAGAAAATACTTTCGGACTTGGAAAATGTTAATTAAGTAATGAAACTTGTCACAAAAAGATGTAATTATATGCATTGAAAAAAAAAGTGACGTCATGATAATAGTGCGTTCAAGTACAATAGCTAAATTACTGTGAATTGAAAGAAAAGTTTAATACAAAAGTGGCAGGAACCACAAACTACTTATAGTCATTTTTGGATATATAGAGTGGTGCATAAATTTACTACGAACTAGCCATGTAGGAAATATCGGAGTTGTCGACAGGTCGAAACCTGGACCTGTAGTGGGAAACTGAACATTAGCCTGTTCGGTCAAAACTTTTACTGTCAAGGTTCGGTACATTAAGGTTTTGTCAACTTTAATCTACTACTGCAGAGCCAATAATTTAGCAAAACGCTTCAAACATTAAAAGCAAGTTAATAGTATTGGTATTGACATTGACTCCCCAGTTGTGGGCCAAGCTTGTCAACCATCAGGCTTGAGTCAATGTGACAAACCAGGAATTTGTCATGCTTGACCCAATATTGGAAAATCTTGCTTCAATCTTCGACCAAGCTTCGTCATGTCGTGTCTTCCTACATGGGCATATAATACCTAGCTACTTTCATTTTAATAGAAAACCCTGCGTACGTATTTCTTTTTTGAATCGTCTTTTTTCTACCATTCACACCTAGGGTAGGGTTATTAGAGTTTATGAAGAACCATTCAAGACTTATGACCTGTTTTATAAAAAAAGAGGAAAGATTCACATGACAACCAGTATTTTTATTAGTGCCTCAGTCATAATCGTTTTATTATAGAAATACCTTGCAAATGTGCCCTTCTTTTAAATAGACCAGCAGAAGAGGGTAATATACAGGGTGAGCGAGCGAGATATTCACCATTACGAAAGTAACAGCACTAATTTTCAACCAACTCTAAAAAAATGGAGGTGTCCAATACGATTGTACTTTTGTGTGTATATTACACGATTTCTTCGCTAATTATTTAATTTAATCATCATCATCATCTGATTCTAATACGTCTCTGACTAGACATTCATGCCTGAGAAGGTGCCCTATCAACTATCTCGCCTGTTTTTTATTGAGTTCCATAGTAATCTGTTTTCCTATTATTCCTAATAATTCTTCATTTCAAACTTTCTCTATCCACGGTTTCCTTATCAGTCGCCGGTAACTTCACATTTCAAATCTTTTCTTCTACCCTTTTCTTCACCGCCACGCTTACAGTCTATTTCAATTTGTTAGAATTGTGACCTTGAAGAAATCTGCGCGAAGATAGAAAGAATACACACTAGACGTGAGCAAGACGGTAATAGTTGGAACAAGCTCGATGGGCGGTCTTAGGAGATCGGCTAGAACTGTACAGTACTAGACGAAAATATTTAGCAATTTCTTAAAACAAAAATGTATATAAATTGACAATAGAAAACAATACAAAAGTTTTATAGGTGTGTTGAACGTTAAGTTAATTCACTTGTTATTATTTTTGGCTAAATATGCATTTAAATAAAGCATATTCTTAAATTTTAACGAGGCAGTTTAAATAATTTTGCAAATGGTACTGTACACTTTTGTCTAGCTCTCGCTCGATGATCGGTGGAGAAATGAGCTCCGCAGACAAATATGATTGAATTTGGAATTATGCTACGGCGCATCCTAATAAAGGGAAAGGGCATATCT